TCCTGTATTCAATTTGCGATTTTTCGGTCAATTAATATATTTTACTTCTTTTCATATTTAAGTTAAACAACTCATTTGTGGTATCTGCCGAAGCATTCCAGTATTAATCCCTGTGAACTCACTATTATAATTTTACTTTGTGATATTTGCGCCAAAGATTCGAGCAATCTCGCTGTGATTTTGACTTGTTTATGCGATTTAGATGTATGTCGCCTTATATTTTGTTTTAACTTTAGGTCTCAACCTGCGATGGTTGCCGAACAAGAGTAATATAATTTTCATATGTAAAGATTACATTTTATTTTAGCTTAGGCGTTTAAATTAGCAACGCCTCAGTACAGATCACTCGAGACGAGTGTTACCGCAGAATGGCCGAGCTGTAAGGGTACACGGCCCTATTCAAACCTCGCGCGGCTCCTGTCGTCGCCGCCATTTTAGCGTTACGTGCGTGCGCAGCGGCTACTACGCTCGGTATTGGCCGCTTGAGTTAGCAACGAGGCGCGAGCCCTGATTGGCTCCCGCCTATCACGTGAACCTGACCTTCCCCCTCTCGTACCGGAGAGGGCCTAACGATTCCAGGCCTTTGTGTCTGGACCGCCAAAGCCGCCGGACGTGCCGTCGTCCAAGTTGTCCACTGTACCACCGCGTGTGAATTAAAGTGCTTTTGACCCAGACTGTGCCTTATTGCTACCGGCTCAGAGATTCCGTCCTCCTCCGCTGTCATCCTGACATTCCCTTTTCCCCCGCCGTCTCCGTTAACCTCGCGGTTGGACCGGCGCTCCCTCACAGTATATGCATATCTGTACTCCAGAACCAGATAATTTAAGTCGACAGGTTTTCTATATGACTGCGTCTCCGTTTATTATTCATTATAATAAGCTGCAAAATTATCAATGCGTTGTTTCACAATATCTTTGGTTAAACAAAAATATAAATAAAAATATATACTTATGCTATATCAATTGTATAATATAATTACCTATGGAAATAATTGTTTATCATATGTTCTCTCACATTCCTTTCGCCATGCAAATCTATATCACGAATCTGTGGTATCTCATCGTATATAACTCCATTAATCAGCGGATTCGGCGGCCTAGCTTGCCTTGCGATATTATGTAGTACCGCGGTCGCTACAATTACTGCTAATGTTCGTTCAACAGTAGAGAAACGAGAACAAATATTGAGTACGGCAAATTGTCGACTCCATATGCCGAATGCGCGTTCTACTACACACCGTGTGCGAATTTGAGCTTCATTATATAATTGTTCCGAAGCTGTCGCTGGATTATTCAGAGGTGTCATGAGATAGGGCAGATTTGGGTAACCGGAATCTCCAAGTAAAATTCCATCACCAAATCTTCCAGCTTCAAATGAAGCTTTTATACGTGAATTATCGAATATGGTGGAGTCGTGAGTCGCTCCAGGCCAGCGCGCTACAATGTCAATAATTTCTAATCGTGCATTTACTATAGCTTGCACATTTATTGAAAAATAGCCCTTTCTATTTCGATGTAACTCTGCGTTTTCTCCACCTCATAAAAATAAAACAAAAATTCAATTAAATGTATTAATCAAATATGAATCATTGTGCGGTACCTACATATGTATATATGTATATGTATATATATGAATGTTTATAGTTACCATATGATTGGACTCGTACGTGCTTACAATGTATAGCTCCTATGACTTTAATACAGCCGGAAATTTCAAAAAATTCCCTTTGAGCTTGGCGTATTTGATCAGGCTGTGCAGGAAATCTAATGAAATCCTCACTCAAACTTGCAATTACTGGGGAAACGCGATGCACAATCCTACAAGCTGACATTTTACTTATTCCACAAAAATCTGCCATTGTGACAAAAAGTGATCCAGTTGCGTAGAATCTCAGTGCAACCAGTAACTGAACCATTGGAGAAATGGCATTATTGCTATATATAAAAGATAATAAATATCATTATTGAAGATAATGAATCATTAAGTCAAATAAATTTCAAGCATTTTATCATAGAATCATATTGTATTGTAATAAGATGTTTATAGTTTTATATACATACCAGTTAGTAACATGCTCTAATCGATGCTGAATCCTATTGAGCAACATAATAACACTTTGCTTTGATAGTCGGAAACGATAAACAAATCTTTTTTCATCTAATTCCTCAAAATAATTGATGCGCGGTCTAAACATATGTCGTACTCGCAAAACTCTTGGAACTCTCTCGCCTTGTTCCATTTCCTCATCATCTTCATCATATAATAAATCCCACAGTCCTTGCATATTGCCACTAAAAAATATAATACTTGACTTATATTTTGATATGTCGTTATATTGCAGTACTCAGAACGTTATTTTCCATTTATATTAACTGGAAATTAATTATTTCAGTGTTTAAATATATGTATATGTATATTTTTTAAGCTTATTTGCGTAAATGCGACTTGTCAAAATCTAACCTTGTAAATAGCTTACCGAATTCAAGGTTAGATTTTGACAAGTTGCATTTTCGCAAATAAGCTTAAAAAAAATATATATATTGATATAGTTGTGATTGATATATTGATGTATATACATATACAACATATAGTGTATACAGGGTGAGGGAAAAGTACCGGACCGGTAAAATATCTCGAAAAATATGGGAGATACGGAAAAATGTTTCAGACGAAAGTTGTACGGTTTTAAAAGGGCTATATAATGATAAAATTAATGTTCCAAAAAAATTAATTTTTCATAATTATATGGAGGTCGCCGCCATTTTTGTAAATGGAACTCCCTATTGTTTATTATACTATTTTATTCTACTAATTAATATGAACAACTTTTGTCTGAAACATTTTTTTATTTGCCTAATACTTTTTGAGATATTCAAGAGAAAATGTATAACATTTTCAATGTTTAGTTTATAATCTCTCGATAACTGTTTGTCGGAGGGAAAAGTAGTACAGGACTTTTTTACTTGATTTAGTCTCAGGAATATGCTGTTGCAATGGTGTTTCAATTATTGAAAAATTTTGTGTATGTAAATTTTATGTGTTGCAATATTGGAACACTTTTACAACAGCATATT